CACACAAAATAGGAGGGGTGAAGAAAAATTTTGGTAGGGTTGAAAACTTAATAAGAGGGGTTAAAGAGATTCTGGGGGGTTAACCCCTTTCCCAGTAAATCTGCCCATGGAAAAGATTTTGTGATTCTGTACTTTATGCCCTCTGATAACAATATGTAAGGTAGAGCACAAAGCAAATTCAACAATAAGTAGTCAATCACTGTATATTTATAAGAAAAAACATACTTATTTTTTCTTTCTCTTCTGCACTGGCTCATCACTCACAGCAAACCACTTTTTCTTTTCATATCTGCCACCAACATCTCCTCGTACAACTGGAGCAATGTCACGCTGCGCTGCAATGGTGAGATCATTGTAGCCAAATTCATAGGCACTAGGATTATCTGCTTGTCGTCCTTAGGAACGCTGGTGTCCAAAGTAATCCTCCAGTACATCCTGCATAAACCTTTCACTCAGGACATACTTGAACCCATTTTTCAGAAGAAACTTGATGGCCTCAACATGGGAAAAGACAGAAATCTTGAGACCCTCGTACGTTTGCATGGATAAGAACATCTTTCCTCTTGCATCATCAGAGAAGTCGCCTTCCCTTTCATGAGTGGATGCCTTCCAACTCTCCAGGTACTGAAGAAAAACATCAACCAACCATCCAAACCGATCATCATCAGCAGAAGTGTAGGGCTTGATGAATTCATTTCTTTTTTTGACATGCTCAGTAAGAGACCTTACATTGGTGCAATAAAAAAATCGTTCATCATTCGACAAAATTGTGCAGTCCCCAAAACATCACTGTTTCCGCTTTCCTCCAATGCTATTGCAACCGACCGACTGAGAACCTGAGTTGCCAATCTCACCTTCATCTTGCTGTAACTCGTTAGCGTAATGTGATCCAATGTCAATTTTGGAAGCACATGGAGCTCAACTGCTTGATCCTGAGAAAAAAGATCTGCTATGTGACTAAATGGAAGATATTTGCCATTGTTCCACATGTATCGACTGTGTGACCCTGATCCTGAATTATACAAGCAGTTTCGAGCTGTCTTCAGTAAATGTGGAGAATCTGCGAAGAAGTAGACAAAACGTGATGGTGCAAAAAGATTTAAAGTCTTATATACAACATCACATTCATCTTCACCAGCCAACGTGCTATGGAAATTAAATAATTTTCGATTTGGTGAAGCACCATCATTGACCAGACCAATCACCCAAAGATCCAGTGATAGCTCCAATGTTGACACAACTTTCCAGAAAATGGGCATTAGCTGGTATGAAGTGACATTCCCTGTAAAGTAATAGGCAATGATATGTTTCATATCAGTGGCTAAACCTCTAACAAGAAATGCCAATGCATGAGTGGCAACGCTATCTTCCTTATCCAGACAGGCATAATTTGTCATAGGATCACCAAGATCAATAAACCCGATCAGATCACCAGAATGCTTTCATATACAAGATTTGATTGGATCTTCATCTCATCCATGACCAGTACGACGTATCGTTGAATTCCGCTAAATGATTTCACCTTGTTTCGCAAAGATTCTACATTTTCTGCGTTTAACCCTGCTTTTGGAGAGAAATAATTTTTATAATCTCTCAAAACTCTTTCACTGGGTAATACCAAGGCACCACTTTCTCTGAGCTCTCTATAGGCAGATGGTGATTTGCCATGAACAGATAAAGCAAACCGAATAATTTGTGGGTGATATCTTCGTCCACAACTAGAAGATTGCAAAAGCTTCATCTGCTCTTGCCAGAAGAATTTCATGTGTGGAGTACTATCTAGATTTTGTCCATCCATTATCTTCAGAATGTCCTCCTCCAAAGTCTTATCAATGCATACACTTTGACTGGTAATCTTCTTTTGGAGTTCTTGCAGTTCTCCTTCAAGTAATTTGCACTTCGACCTTGCAGCGACCACAGTTGCTCGTAACTTGTCAGGTCCACATGCTGAAAGAGGAGCCTTACTCTTTGCTGGGGATGTTTTAGCTCTCTTTTTGTTTGTCTTCTTTAGTTGTTTTGTGATAGTTGAGCATGGATCACAGAGTTCAGAACGTTCTATGATGACATCACAGTTAGGTGAACGAAAGAAAACAGTTGCTTCAAATTGCTTTGGTGATGGTTTTTTCGGAACAGAGTGGCCAATAACTGTTCGAGGAATAGCAATGGTTATGTCTTATGTCAGTGTTCGGATCAATAGCAGCATTTTTTGTTTGATGATCTTCAGGCACACCTTCACATAGCTTGCTTTTCTCTACTGTTGACAACACCTCTCGAAACTGTTCACCACTTTTGATAGATCGTTTATGTTCGTTGTAGGTATTGTGGTCATCAGGTATTAGCCAACTAAAAGCATATGCCGTAAACTCCATTGAACAAGAATCCACAACAACTGTATATTTGGCAACTCCATGGACATTGTCAGTCAGAAAAAAATTGACATTGCCATCATCACACACTTTACTTTTCCATTCCAATAAAGTATCATTGTCAAGTTGATTAATTAAATCATCTGAACACAATCCTGGCTCTAAATACGAATGGGAGGAAGATGGTATATCCTCTTGTAGCTCTTGTCTTGATGCCTTCTTCTCAATAACTCGATGTGGTGTCTTCTTGGTCTCATGGGATCTTAAGAGCAGGTTCTCTGTGGGGATACTGCCAGTTTGAAGGATTTTTCTTGAGTTTGGCTTATCAGGATCTGCAAATGGTTATAATTAGTACACAAGTAGTTGTGTTCTCTATAGAAATGATTACACTTATTAAATATAAGTGTATAAATTCCATACATTGTAATGCATAATAGAACTTCAAAACTGATAGAGTCATTATTTCAAAATAGCACAAAATCTTAATCAACACTGCTAGTGTCAAGCTAGTGAATCAAAAGAATCTTAATCCAAGTCGCTTTCACCATACGGTATTGAAATATAAAGTGTTAACAGTCATACATGACTACAACACATATAAAACAGCTACATATGTACTTGCCACTTCATATATAGTAAAAAACACACGAACTTTATATACTTCAAAAATGGTGCAGATAAAATATTAGATATCCAACTGGGCAGTAAATATAAACGACGGATGGAATTACAGCATGAAGCCTGGCAGAGTGTCAAACACACAAATATCAGTATATCACTAACAATCCTTATAAAACTCAGTTGAGATTATATTTTGTGGGTACGTTTATAGTCTAAAACCGTGGTTATTTTCACGTATATAAATATGCATACAGTGGAAAAAAATGCAGAAAGCTATTATAAGCATTAAAACATATATAACAACTTGATGGTTTCAGATGGCTTCGGCTCCATATTAAAAAAGCGGCCAATATTGTATGAATTTCGACAGCCTAAAAGATAAAAATATAGCCGCTTCTCGACGTTTCGAGCAAAGGACGAAAGTTTGCTTGAAACGGAGAGATTCGAGAAGCCATATTTTTATCTTTTAGGCTGTCGTGTAGTGTCAACAAGACAACATTTGCATCCATGGTGTCCATGGTCATACTAAGAAAAATTTACATAATAATTATCATAACAATTATACAAGCGCAAGTTATGCAACAAACATACCTTTTAAAATGCAATCGGCTTTAAAATGGAGTTCGCAAACATATATATTATTCTTGTTTATCTGTTCCTTCAGTTCTGAAGTCATCTCTCTTGTCCTGAGAATAATATTGAGCCATTCTTCTCGGCTTTTTTTCTCTAGCGACGCAGTGTGTTCGCTTTGTGCTGTTTAATTTGTGCTTTTGACTGGTCGGACAACCAAAAAATGCACAATTTCTACCAGGCATGGTGAAAACTTACATCTCGAATTATAAAAACAGCACAAAAATTAAAGACGGCCTTTGAAAACGATGTTTCTCGATGAGATTTTTGCTTTTCGCTAGTAAGGATTTGTAATTTAATGCCCACTATCAGTCACGTGACCCTCCAAACATGGGATCAAAAACATATGCCAAAACTCCGCCCACTATCCAAACCATCTCATTCTATTAACTGTGGCCTAACGTACCCCTATAGCGCACGTCAGCGTATACCGGCGTATGAGTGATATTTTTCATACGGTGCGCATGCAGGCATACGCTAGTACGATACGCAATAGTGCGACAGGGCCTTAAGTAAAAATTATATATTAAACTTATATTATTTTATGTGCATTTATGTATTATTTGTGCGTATATGTGAAATATATTTGCATAAATACAAATTTCCATTATGGTTAAACAAGTCAATTTGCTGGAAAGGTGCACCGAAATCATTAGCTCGTTTAATACAAGAGTTTTACAAATATACAACTAGTATTTGCTTACGGCATGTGCTAAAACCTGGACGATGGACGATTTTTATTTACAGTCAAAACACTAAAACCCGCACACTTCCGCTCTGACTTGTACTTTGTTGTCATTTATTGTATATTTCGTTGTGTATTAATAACAATACTTATATTGCAATACTTGTAACAAAGAATGGCTTTTCCGTAAGATTCACTCCATAAGTAGCAACATTTAAATTTTATTATTGGTAACACATAATTTGGTAGCCGTAAAGGTAATACAAAACAAAATATAGGGTAATGCAGGGTAAAATGAGACACCTAAGGACATCTATTGTTGTAGAATGGAAGGCATATCAATTTGAATTTTCTTTTTGACTTGGGTATGTGAGGTTGACTCACAGCAAGATATGTAAAGCAAAAAAAATATGTTTGAAACAATTTATTTGCGAAAAATCGGTGAAAACCTAGCAGTGGTAATTGTCTCATTTTGCCCCGGCACAGTGAGGCAAAATGAGACAGGGCTAGAAAATTAAAAATAAAGTCAATATAATTATACTTATTTTAATAGAACTTTAGAACTAATTATAAAATACATGTTTCAAATCATTTTTAAGTTCAATGTCACACACACAGGTCACACTGGCTGCGGTAACAGTACAGCATTCTTCGTGACACCATCGTTTGCATTGTGAACAAGTCATCCAATCCTCGCCAGGCATTGACTTTGACCAAAGTTCACAACAAAGTGATAAATTTTTTAGTCTACCATTGACTCGGCGATTTAATATTGCTACTTTACGTAATGTAAGAATCGAGTGCCATATTCCAGTACGAATAGCCACTTCGTTCGTAATTATTGGACCACTCTACATTTCCATTTATATACGCTCGATTATACGCTAGGTTTTTTTAGCCTATTACTACTAAATATGTGTTCTTGTTACAATGACGTTATGTTGTAAAATATAATTACAAAATATTTAATATGTATTGAAATATGTATTAAATATGTATGAAAGTTAAATGAAGATGTGTCTTCCTTCAATGTCAAGTTCCCCACAGGATTTGGTTTACCAGAATTGCAGTCCCCCCTTTTCATCTGGGAAAATCTCAGGTCTCCCCAGTTTCTCACCCATAATTGAATACAATTTTCAATGACTATCAATACTTGTTGTTATAAATACTAAATTACAGAACGTAATATGTAAATATATAAAATTTATTAAAATTTTCATTAACATTTTGTGATTTCTCTTTCCAAACCTACAGCTCAAATCATTGGTATAGTTACTTGACCTCTGAAAATATGTTTAATGTAGTGATGGATATTGAATTGGCTTTGAGAAAATTATGACTGAGTTAGATATAAATTTACATTTAAAAGCAAGTACATTTTAAAAATCTATCCCCAAAATGCCTGAATTAGTATCATTGCCTCAGTTCAACTATTTCAACAAATCTAGTATATGTCATCAAGAGTGTTTCATTTTCTTTACAAAACTAGTGTTACTGAAGCATGTAAATTCATAATCATATAAATTCATAATCAATGAAGTTTTTGAAATTGTAAATTATCAGCTAAGCATGTTCCAAAACTGCACTGAATTATAAATAGAGCATTTCTAAAATTTAAATGTTCCAGAACAGAAAATATTAGCAGTCTGCTTGTGGAGTATACTGTATTTCTCAGTGAACTATAGAACTTAACGCTTTGCATTTCGGTGAATATTCTTGCACTATTAACCTCCACTCGAATACGGATCGAAATTATTAATAAAACCTATAGCCGCAAGTTACGGTGTTGTTATAGTGCTCCACATGAGAATGAAATAACTACACTATCGACGAGAGACACGTGAATTTAGTAGAACTGCCTTACTCGTGTACTCGCATGCATGTACGTGCATACTCACCCCATCACTTAGCTTTGGTTCTTTAATTGGACAGCGGCCCTGAAACAAGAAACGTCCATTCAGTCAGATAATTTCTAAAACTGCAGTTACAAAAAAACGCAGCGAAGTTTATCGTGTACTTAACTCATTAACCAAATTGGCACCATCGCTTTATATATACTGTTTGATTATCATTCTACAAACTGGGCTCTTAAGAGGCAGTCTCTGTAAGAACCTCATGACCTCTTTGGATCAAGAAATAGATTTCTCTCAAACTTGGCACTTGAGATTGCCTTTATAAGGGTTGCTTCAAAATGCATCTTGTTTTCAGTCTAACTGCATTTTGGCAAAGTTCCAGGGGGGTCAAGTTGAGGGTTAAATTATGATTTTTGCTGTTTCTCAATAGTGGATTTTTACTGATTTTTAAAGCTCTCTACATCAAACAAAAATAATGATAAAACTAAATCCTTCCACA